ACACGCGCCGCAGTGTCTTGGACTTGGGGAGTTTGCCGCTGTTTAGTGGTGATTTGGATACCTTTTGCCGCATATTTCGAAAAACTAACACCAACCCACGACTCATTGCCCTCCGCTGAGGCATCTCATGAATTTTTGCCGCCAAGTGCTGCCAAATGTGCCTCGTACTGCTGACGTCATCTACCATGTCATCTTTGACTATTCCTAGCATTGACCGGTTTAGGTCAGACCGGTTCGGTTGTATTTCTGACCGGTTTGATCGTCTTCTGACCGATTTTTGGTGATTTCTAACCGGTTTCTAAGGTATTTTGGCGTGCCAAGTTCATTTTTGGCTTTATGTATCTATGTCTATCAAGCTTTATTGGTGCATGATTGATTTGATGATCTTGTCATACTCCACCATATTCCAAATGATTACAAAATCCTTCTTTTATGGGGTCATGTTTTTCGACGGTTACTCTGATCGACGAATTATAACATGGATATCACCAAATTTTTTATTTTAGCTAAGATTGCTCGCAACTAGTGTCCATATCTTACAGACCCAATTAGAGGCACGGTGAATGGAAATTTCTTCCGATCCAATCAAGGACGGAAAAAGACATTGCCCTCTTAAATAATCCGGACGCACAAGCCTAGATACTCGACTGCTCTGAGCCCCATGAAACATCTTGTAATTCCAAACGTTTTCGGCCGTGCATGCGACCTTGACCCAAAATAATTCGCGCATGATAAGTGAAATGTGGATACAAAACTTCAGATCGGAAATCTCCCGACACCCTAATTAATTGCGCCGACTACACATTCTTTTTTTTCATGCATAACTTAAAGCTCACTCCCCCACAAAGCACTCACCCCAATTTTTTTTTTCATTAAATAATGAAAAAAATTTCTTCCCTTCATATGCCTCTGCTTAGACCAGGTGAGACCGTGAGACCTCCACTGGATAATTCACGACCAATTTTGGGGATCTGAAAGAGACTAACGAATCCTGCCTTCCTGGCTATCAAACGCCAGTAGCTGCAATTCGTTACCCAACAATTTATCCTCTCTATGTACTTTCGAATAGAACAAACATTATGAAATAATAATAATAATAATAATAATAATAACAATAATAACAATAATAATAAATAAATAAAAACATGTCGTGGTGGGATGCATTTCATATCAAATCAAGAGATTGAATTCAGTAGACACCAAATAGAAAGGACAATTTAAGCTAATTCCAATGCAATGCATGTCATGAAAACTTATATTCGGTATAACCTGAGCTTGATATATATATATAACGACACCGTTCAAAATTAAATAGGAAAAATGAAAAGATTCTAGATATTAAATGGCAATTGTGCCTTTGGTCTAACTATCGCTCATGACGATCCGGTATGTTCTAAGGGCAACTCATAGTTATTCCGCAAATCAACCCCTGGCGGGATGATGTTTTGCTTAGTCTGCACGAGCTGGCGTGATAACTTCCATACGAAGTGTTTGACATCGACAGAAAAAGGGACAGTTCCGAATATTCACGGATGGCGGACGTGGACGATGCATGGAAAACAGTTTCCCCCGAGTTCGAGCTTGTTCAGTAGCACATCGATCTAACATTATCTTTCTCAAAGCCGACCTATGCAAGAAAAAGACGTGATTTTTTTCAAATTAAATGAAGGAATTTCTTGTGGACAACAACAAGCAAGAGAGGCAATTCTTAGAAATTGCCCCCGTCGTCATCAAATCGTAAACAGCAAGCTTTATGCAGACAAACTTCAGCAAAATTGAGGGAGTGCATCCACAATTTTCCACTGCATTTGCTGATGCTGAAGAGTGAGTTAAGGAAATCTGGAAAAGGACCACTTCGATATTCAAGATTCTTTACCCTAAAGATGGAGAGAAAGGAACTGCTGCTGCGAACTTTGTGTTTTTTATTTTATTATTTCTGTAGCGGTCGGGCGATATCTTGTGTCAGTTTTGAGTTTTTTTTTTACGCATTGGGCTATCTGAAATATTAACCAAAGTTCGTGTGGATAAATGTTTACATGTTCGTGCTCTTTCGAAAATGACCGTGGCGTGCTACATCCTTTTGCATAACAAAATATGATTGATTTTTGCCAGAGAGGTCTTCTTCTTATTCCTTTTAGAAATCTTGATTTTGTGAGGAAAATATTGAGTTTTTTTTTTCCTTTTGCGAAAGAACAAACCTCTTCAAGAATGCAATTTACGTATATCATTGCTACATTCGCTTAAAAAAAAATTTTGGGGGAGGGCGGGAGGACTAAATCTTCTTTAGAAAACGAAAGTGGATGTTATTTTTATAACAATTCAGGGCATTTATCTGGAGGCCTACAGAACACCCTGTAAATACCACGAATCAGTTAAGTCTATGCCTTAACTAAGAGTGTTATGTAAGAGTACATTTGTTTCGTGGAAAATAAATGAATTGGATAACATTTTCTTAAAATTGATTACTTGTATCACTTACCAAAATAAATGAATGAAAAATATTTTCATCGTCCACGAAAGTATTTATACATGAATTGTTAATGATAATGAAAACATTTTCATTGACTAATTATTTCAAGAAATATAAGTTATCATTTTCAGAAAAATATTTTCCGTGAAACAAACCGACCCTAAATATTGTTTGACCCTCGAGTGCGCTGCATTGGATAGGCCTGATTATATTTAATCTATATTGGGCACTTGGTTTTCTATGAAATCTTTCATCATTGCAGAAATTCCAAATCCATGAAAAATCGTGATTAAACGATTTTGAAATTTCTTTTTGATGAATGTCAACTTTTATGCATGTTGAAAGTCAACTCTTCTATCGATCTAATGATCGTTCTTGTTCAATTCGCGAGATACAGTACTTTGTTGTTCTTATATGAACATATTTCTACATTCAGAACAGCTATTCCAATTTTCGCGCGTTTATATTGAAATAGATTGAGAATTTAATTTGTATTTAGATGACATTATCGCCTTGACAAAGTGATTTAACATGCCTCTGGCCGAATAATTTTGTCGTTCAGCATTATTTTTCCGTGACAGCTCAGTTTACACGCAATTTGTATAGTCGAACAAGCGACCTCTATGGAGCTGAAAATCCCAACACTGCAACTGACTGCACCTACCCCGTGGGTATACATCTGTCTTTCGTCATTGCTTTTGATCAATTCATTCACCCTTATCATTATAATTATTGAGCATCCGAATCATCCCCTAGTCTGGTATCTTCTTTTATGAGTATAGAATATAATCTAGGGCAATATAAACTATTAAACAATAATTGGTAGAGCCCTTTATGCCCAATTATCTAATCATGCTTACTCATCTTTTTGGGTTTAAAGCATGAGGAATAGTCCAAGGTTGTTGGTTTCAATAAGTCCAAGATACCCCACCAATCAGACAAAGGGAGAGACAAAATCTTGGTAGGTCACGCTCCTCTTTTCCATAGCATAATCCCAATTGCAACAATATATATATATATATGTGTGTGTGTGTGTGTGTGTGTGTGTGTGTGTGTGTGTATACGAAGCCCAAAACCCCAGATGATAGGTAGCCTTCATTATAGGATTTTCTTCTTTCCTGACAATAAGTACACTTTGCAACTCTTCGCAAACCGAGGAAAGTGATGAATGATCTGGTGCGATCTGTACTGAATTCATTGTTAATCAATCACTCATGTGAATACCGATATATCTTAACAGAAAATGTTGAAATTGCCATGGAGCTAATAATCATGATCACGACACCACGAGTGCTCGAACTTTTGTCAATTATATCAAAGCCGTAACCCAAGTTATCTTTTTCTGTTTTCTTTTTATGTGTGTGGCACATGAGATCATAACATGTTTCTTGGAATCATATGAAAACCACATGTTTTCTTCTGCAACTAAATTTGTTTGAGTGTGGTACTAGGATTCTCCCGTAAATGTTATTAGGTGTAAGGATAAATATTCATTCAAGTTAGAAGAGAACCATGAAAAAAAGAAGAAAATGAAATTTGACATCTTGTGATCATAAATATATTGGTCATCACATAGAAATTAACAATTAGGTTAGGTATCTATCCGATCATTCATGAAATGATTTAGGCCTTTTTCAGGGTCATATGAGAGCTAAAAGAAGAAGAAAAAAACACAATGATAAACAAGAAAAATTGCAATAACACTAAACGTCACATTTGTGTCAAGTGCCTTTGATGCTTTGTAAAGTTTTGCCAAACACTCCCTTAGCACGCTAGTCGAGCAAGAATCACATAGATTTTTAGTAAATCGGGAAGGGGGCGAGTCGAAAATAGTTCAAATTATCAAATCGAACCAAACTAATCCGATCTAGTGTAATCTAATCTCTCTGAAACCCTATATAAAAACACAAGCTTCTCGAACTTTTCTAGATTTCCACACTACTCCTTAATCATCAAAATCACAGAGGGTTCTCTTTCACAGCTTTCATATTTGGGCCACTCTACATGGTGACATTGGCGGCTCAAAACCTACGAAATGCTACAGCGCATTGCCAAATGCTATGTACTTACTCATACTATTTATTTTCCCTAATTCCATGCCCTGATTGCAGTTCACAAGCACTCCATGTATGGTCATGTACTGATCAGATGAGATTAAGAGCAAAAATGTTGCTAACTCGATCGACCCGGAGCATCAAGATTTCACTGACGCAGAGCAGTGAAACTTCTTCAACCCCTTGCATCAAGAAGCCAGCTGAACTCAAGTCAGTTCATCCAAAACCAAACTCATTAGAATGTACTTCTACACAACACCACTCTTTGATGGATATGAATCGCTCTTGATTTAAAAACGGTGAATCAACTCAACTTACCACCGCCGCATATTACAAAACACAAGCGGGATGGTTGTATGTCATGACTCGTGATCTTAAACGGAGTCGAAAAGTCTAGTCGATTATGGGATTATCATAATCTTGGCAACGAATTAGACACCAAAAAGCATACACAAATCATCAAAACCCAACTCCTATCAGCATAGATTCAATTGCAGATGCCCTGTACTTGTTTTCCTAGCCCCCACCCAGCCTTGTGCCACTGCATTGTTGCCCTCCGACTCTGGTGACGACGCCTGTAACGGATTCACTGAGTCTCGGCCCTTTTGCTGCCATGCCGACATGATCTCTTTGACGACTGGCTTCAAAGTCTCGGTCATCTTCAGGACACCGAAGAGAATGAGCCGGTACACGACCACCATCTCAAACAATATGGCGAGATCGGTCCACTTGGTGTAACGCATCTCCACTTGCCATATACCCCTCAGCACATCTTCACCGCTGATCAAGCCGCTCCCTGCCGAAGAGGCCGGATTCCTGGGAAGCATTAGGCCCTCGAACTCGTTCTTGAACAAACCGTGAAACGCGTACCTGTTGAAGGACAAGTAGTAGAGTGGATATCTCCAGAATACCTTGGGAAGGTCATTCGGCAGGCGAAAGAAACCGCCCCCAAGGATCATTAGTCCCTGGATTCCCGAACCGGCAGTTAGCCCCATGAGGAAGCTTGGGACGACACTTGCCACAATCATCATCAGGCTCTCCACCAGCATCATACAGGCGAAAAGAGTTGTGGCGAAGTATAGGAAGTGACCAAGTTCTTTCTGGAGGCCCACGAGATAGTACGTGATAGCTCCGGGAATTAGGGATATCATAAGCAAGAAGGGCACGGAAGAGAGCATATTGGCGAGAACGAATGCGCCAGATCCATAGTGTCCGTTTAATCTTTCCCTTTCGAATACCTGATGGAAAATGATCAAAAGTGAAGTAAGCGAGATTTGGATCAAAGAAATCCTTTTGCCAAGTGACTGAGTAATCCTGATTGACGCACCTTCAAATCTTCGACAAACGAAGGGAAGCCACCGATTGCCATTATTGTCAAGAAAGAAGCGACGAACGTTATCAGTGAACCTCTAGCCTGGATTAAGTACATAAATGGCCATGTTTAATTTCTAGTGCTATGGAAAATTGATGGGAAAGCAATCAAAAGACTCAAAAAGATAAGGAACAGATTCGGCGTGTACAGAGCTTACCTGAATAGAATCATAGTCAGAGCCGATGTGGTAGAAAACCGTTCCCAAACTCAAAGCTATGGCGACGTACATGAGGAGGCGCATCCAATAGTATCCCAGGTCACGGTACATGTTCATGAATGACCTTGTCGTGAGGACAAGGAATTGGGTAAAGAAACGAGCTCGGCTCTCTTTCTCGTGTCCTTCCTTGTCCACCTAGGACAATGATCGATGCCATCATAATAAACATGTTCATTCATTCGCTAATGCCGATATTGCTCCTTTCAGATCCCGGAGTATACTGCTTTAGTATAGTTCAGTTATGACTTACCATTTCATGAATGTCAGCGATCTGTTGTTGGATGTGCCTATAGCAGTCGGATGATTTGTAAGATTCCACGAGCACTTTAATCACTTCCTGTGTCCTTGGCTTTCCTCCTAAACCTGGGTCAATGTCCTGGTCATTATAAAAGACAAGTTCTAGTCATTGAGGCTAAGCAAGATTGTTGTAATGATGATTGAAAATGGAAGACTTCCCGCATACCTCGTCAAAGTCTGTGTTGATGTTTCTGAGGTAGTGATCCGACGGATTTTGCATACTTGGACATGGGAAACCGTTCAGAGAAAAGAACTACAAAATTTCAAATGAAGAGCTTCAGTCCACCCATTAGCTTAGTATAGAACTATGGAGTCTTACTGTTTATGCAAGGTTTTTCCCTAATAACAATACCTCTGGTGCTTTACTAGAAGGACCGAAATAGACGGTTCGTCCCTGAGAGAGGAGGCACAAGTTGTGGAAAAGCCCAAACACCTCACTGCTTGGCTGGTGGACCGATGCGAGGACGGTCATGTCATGCTGCTTCGCAAGGCTGACAATGCGCCGCATGACGTAGTAGGACGCGGCGCTGTCGAGGCCACTCGTGGGCTCGTCGAGGAAGAGGAGCTTGGGGCGGGTCAGGATCTCCATGCAGATGCTGACCCTCCTCCGCTGGCCGTTGCTCAGGCCCTTGCTCCCCCAGCCGCCGATCCTCGTGCCCGCCGCATCATGGAGACCCATCTCCTTGATGGTGACCTCTGCTCTCCGCTTCTTCTCCGGCGGCGGCATCGTGTCGGGCAGCTGAAGCTGAGCCGAGAAGTAGACGGCCTCTTTCACGGTGAGGGTCGACGTTAGCACGTCGTCTTGTGTCACATAAGCCTGCGTTAGGGAAAATCATTCGATCTCCACGAAACTCTCCCAAGAATCTCGTCACAAAACATGATAAGAGGCGATGAGAACAATTTGAGACAAATGATGAGAGACACGCGTCACTTTCGGCCTTCGATTTGCTTACCGACGTCCCATAAGCCAGGGGCTCTTTCCGGCCATTAACAAGGATTTGACCACCTAGCCTTCTCTTGGAATCCAGCCTCCCTGCAATGAGGTCATTTTTCGTTTAGGGATATAAAAAACTATCATCTCCTCGTTATAACAGTGTAGAACTGAACAATAGATGAAATGATCCTACAGGGGCAAACATCAATATCATCAGATTTTTTACACAACTTAGATTCATTTTATGGATTTTTGGGAAGATTTTAATCCTTATTTTGGTGTCCATTCTAAGTTGAGTCTCCCATCTTCTGAGCCTCCAGTTCCACCTTGAGTAGAACTCGAATTGCACCTACCATCACTGAATATTGAGTGGTTTCATTTATCAAATTGCCATTCTTTGGCCGACCTCACATTTGGGTTATGAGTCATGACATTGGAAATGAGGTCAACAATATCATAGGCCTCAGTTTGACTACCTTAAATTGAGAGAGAGAGAGAGAGAGAGAGAGAGAGAGTTGTGGCCAAAATGATTGAGATCATCGAAACGTCCTAAACCAATTGTAATTTTGTCAATTCACTCATAAACCTTTTTATATTCAGTTCAATCTATCAAAGAGAGAGAGAGAGAGAGAGAGAGTGAGTTGTGGCCAAAATAATTGAGATCATCGAAAAGTCCTAAACTAATTGTAATTGTGTCAATTCACTCATAAATCTTTTATATTCATAATCTAGAAGAGAGAGAGAGAGAGAGAGAGAGAGAGAGAGAGAGAGAGAGAGTGTGAGTTGTGGCAAAATAATTGAGATCATCGAAAAGAGAGAGAGAGAGAGAGAGAGAGAGAGAGAGAGAGAGAGAGAGAGAGAGAGAGAGTTGTGGCCAAATTGATTGAGATCATTGAAAAGTTCTAAACCAATTGTAATTGTGTCGATTTACTTCTAAACTTTTTGTATTTGTGCCAGTTTAGTCCATTCGAATAATTTTGGCCGGCCGGCGCTGACATAGCACTGACGACATTGACGTGGACATTTTTTTTAATAATATTTTACAATTTTTTTCTTTTTTTCCTTTTCTTCTCTTTAGGTTTTGTTTCCCTCTATGAGGGCCAAGACGCCCTTGCTCGTGGCCCTTACCTTGCTAGATTTGGCGAGGGCATCCCGGCCCTTGCCTATGGCTGGCGAACCTCGCTAGCCTTAAGTGGAGGGAAAAAAATTAAAGAAAAGAAAAGAAAAAAATAAAAAAGAATTTTTTTTAAAAAATTTACGTTAGCGCCGACCGGCCAAAATTGGTCGAATTGACTCAATTGACACAAATGCAAAAGGTTTATGACTCAATTGCAATAAATTTAGAACTTTTTTGATAATTTTTCAGACCGTGGTTCTTAAATCCAAGGTTTGATCACTTTAGGGGCGAGGCCAGTTGTGGCACACATATGTGTCTGCTTTTACTATAATCTACAATAAGACCTCAAACTTCTTGAGACCTCACTCATTTTTCCCCCTTCCCCCAGTATCCTCAACTGCTTCTTTTACAAATACTCAATCCATGGGCAACTGCTTCCTATATAATTGTGTTTAGCTTGACACATGTTACAATATTAAATTTGAAATTTTTTAATTCTACAACAACACTCTCAGAAGAAACTCAAATAGTAGAATATATTTATCTTTCCCTACGTGCTTATACAATTTCTTCATATTGTGCATTTTATCGAGAATTTCTTTTCATTGTTCAATGATTCAAATATTCTGCGATGAAGTGGTTTTAATTTTCTTTTTCAAATGTCAATTTTGGTGCACACGAAATGCGCAGTGCACATTTGCCAGTTATAATAAGAGGGATGTTCCTCTCTTTTCTTCTCTTATTAAGAGTAAAAAGTGGTTTTTACTCTTGACGCCATGTAGTCCATAATGCTAGACATGATGAACTCAAACGACATTAGCGCATCGCAAATCATAATGTAAAAGCCCGAATTGAAGAAGATGCTACACGCTTAATCATGAATCGGCACGTTTCGTTCATGGATCAATCACGTAGGGATAGTAGTGTATCTATATGATATATTACCAGCCAATGCATCGAGTAGAGTGGACTTGCCACATCCGGACGGCCCCATGATCGCCAACACCTCGCCGGGTCGGGAGAAGCCCGTGAGCCCCTGGAGGATGGGTACGCACGCGTTCTCGTCATCTCCCACGGTCACCCACATGTCTTGCCACGTCAGCGAGATCGCCCTCCTGTTCAACCTCGAATTTCGCCTGACATGCATTGAATCCCGCACGTGAGGATCAAGAGCAACTCCATGACGATCGCGTTCTGGGTCGACGAGTTTCTCCGCCTTCTGCGAACCGAGACCCGGCGATGAATCCATGCAACGTAGTGCGTTTGTTCAAAAGAGAGCGAGAGTTTGACGGGTTAAGGCCATTTTGGCCGAGCACCGAGGGCATGTATATATGATAGATCGCTAACATAGGTATCCAAATATCTCGGGAACGATGACAATTATCTCATCATTTTGTATCGTTTCGTTTGGGCGAACATATGAAGGTGGTGAGAGAGAAAGGCATAGTCCAAAATTCAATGATTATTACTAGAAATACAAGTTGGCCGAGCATTGATCAACAAGAAAATTAGCATCTTCTCAACGGCGAGTTGTCTTGCTCAGCGGTGCCACGATAGGTAGATCCACCCCGGTAAAAAAAAAAATTATTAGCGTCATTGATGTTAAGGTTTTACCAATGAATTCGAGTCTAATCTTAAGCCTCTTTCTCTCTCTCTCAAGTCGAGTGATTCCGAGAGAGAATCATTTCCAGAGAGCCTATCTCAGCCCTTACTTTGTTGTCTGCCGCCGACAAGATGTCCTAATAAAAAATAACAACGTAACACTAAGGGTGCGTATGGTAACGTTTCTATTTCTGGGAATAATTTTTTTTTTCAGAAATAGCTTTTTCTATTTCTATTTCCTGGAAGAGTTTCGAGCAAAATAACGTTGCGTTTGGTAACTCGCATGACAAAATTTCTATTTCTAGAAAGAAATGTGTGTAGTAAGCACAAAATTTCTATTCCCGGAATAGAAAAAGAATGTAAATGCGCTTTAGAATCGCACAAAATTTCTATTCCTAATTTTTTGCATTCAAATCTATATCTTTTATTTAACTATAAGTACAAGTTATAAGTGAAAAAATCAATAAGCATGATTTATTGGTTTGTCTAATCCTTTTAGGGGTTTAAAACCCCTTTTAATCCCTAAACTAAGGAATCTTCAAAAATACCACTTGGGTACCTCAAAAATTTAAATTTCACTCAAACTGGGTGGCCACAATGTATTCTAAGCCATTATGTGAATTTTTTATATTTTTTGGGGTAAAATTTATTAAAATTTTTTACTTTCCCTAAATCTATTTCTTTTTATTTTTCCGAAAATTTTTTGTGAAATTTTTTTAATTTTTTCAATTTTGGAATTTTGCAAATATTTAAGGGTTTTCTGAGTTTTTCTGATTTTTATGGATTTTCTGAGAATTTTTCTGATTTATATGAATTTTGGGAATTTTTAAATTTTTAAATTTTTTATGGGATTTTTCTGAAATTTTTCTAATTTTTATGAATTTTCGGAATTTTTTAATTTATTCTATGCCAATATGTGAATTTTTTATTTTTATTTTTTTGGGAAAAGTTTATTAAAATTTTTTACTTTTCCGAAATTTGTCTCTTTTTATTTTCCAAAAAGCTTTTTATGAATTTTTTTTAAATTTTTTCAATTTCGGAATTTTGCAAATTTTTATGGGTTTTCTGAGTTTTTCTGATTTTTATGGATTTTCTGAGAATTTTTCTGATTTTTATGAATTTTTAGAATTTTTTAATTTTTTAATAATTTAATTACTTTTTTTATTATTTTTATTATTTTCGCCGAGAATGGACGGATCGGTGCTTTGAGATGGTTTGCAAATGATGGAGGATGGAGGAGGAGCTGAGGTCGCGACTTGAGGACTGGACCTTTCTATTTCTATTTCTAGGAACAAAGAAGTAGATTTTTATACTTAGCATTTATATTTCGCTCCAAATCATTTTGTAGCCACTTTTACATTAAAGTAGAAAAATAAAATGCGTTCTTAAAGCAATTTACGTTGCTTTTTGTTCGGGAATAGAAGAAACGAGGAAAAATAGAAACGAAGCGTTCTACTAAACGCTTTCTAAAGCATGACACGGCCAAAGAAAAAAAAACATTTGGCATGTCGAAAGGTAACTCAATTTATTGGAAAAAATAATGTGTTTGTTTCGCGAAAAATGAGACATTTCTAAAAGAACAAGTCATTTTCAATATTTTTCGGTGTTTGGTGGTAACTTGAAAAGGAATAGGAAAATATTTTCTGCCGTATGATATGTAAAATTTGATTTGGTGTTCATTCAAGTCTTAAATTTGGCACATATTAACATGCTGTCTAACAATGCCATTAATGTGTGACGTGTCAATTGCTCGTCACATTCTTTTTCCACATCAGAATTATATATGATTTTTCCAACTTTTCCTTCTTTTTCTTTTTGTTCTTTTTTTTTTCCTTTCTTCATTCTTACTTTCACTCCCCCGTCAACAAGAAGTCAACTCAGTCTCGCGATCAACTCACCCCGCCACTCGCCTTCCACCACCACCTCACCGCCGTTGCAGCCGTTCGTCCATCACCGCCTCGCCGCCTTCCACCACCACCGCCACAGCTGATCATCCTCATTCCGCCCTCGACAGCCGCAGAGATCTCCGTTTTCCCCAACCCCTCAGCCATAAATCTCCACCATTAAACCCTCCACTTGCGGTTGATTGCCCTTCGTCTCCGATCTCAACCAGCCTGCTGGGGCCTCGTCCTCGCCGTCATCGATCTTGAGCTCGGTCGGCGCTCTCGAGTCTCAGATGTTGGATCTAAACTCGAGAGAGTGCCAGACCTTGGATCTCGGTTGATTCGAGGTCGAGCAGAGTATATGGTAGCCATATTTGGATATTTGGAGGTCAACGGCCATTGTCAACCCCCAAGTGGATGAGTTATCACGGCAAGGAGGCGATGGAAGAGAGACTTGGGGGTTGGGGCAGTCAGGGAGTGAGGGGGCCTGCTGGGAGTCATCCTCGCTTGGAGGGGAGCTGTTGGATCACCGGCGACGTCCTGGCATTCGGATGGAGGCGGGGCTGTGTTGACGGAGGAGGAAGTCCGGAGGCGGAGAGGCAGAGGAGAAACTCTGGAGCCTGAGAGCGATGAGGAGTGCACAGGTGAGAAGAGGAAGGTGAAGGAGTGCATGACGGAGAACGTGCTTGGTCCGGGCGAAAGCAAGAGGAGGGAAAATATTTTTCTCTTCAAAAAAGAGAAAATCATTTTCTTCACTTTTTAAGAGTCTTTTTTTCAATATTGATGAAAAATATTTTCCTTGAGTAGTTTATTTTCTTCGAACCAAATGTCGAAAAATCCAAAAAAAAAATTTCAAAATTGTTTTCTATGAAGTAAATGAAGCCTCAATTTATCTTTGACCTATATTTGGTGGAGATGATTAGAAAGGAAAAGAAAGGGATTCGAATTTTTTACGAGAAAAAAGAAGAAAAGGAAAGAATTCGAAATGATTGAGTTATGATACTATTGGGTAGATGTTAACGAGAGAAAAAGAAAGTAAAAGAATGCATTGTGATGTAAATGTTCTTTTGTGTATTTAGAAATAATATATAAAACAAGGGTACAAGTGAGAGAGAATGAAGGAATTTGTTTATTAATATACAAATCCCTTGAAATCCATTTGGAGATTAACAATGCTCGTGGATATGAGCATGTCCTTAAACTATTTCTTCTGAACTCTAGAATGTTAAATTTCGGGAGTATTCTCTAGGAGAGAGAAAAGAAACAATCTCTCCAATTAGGGGGATTGGACGTGCGGGCACCAATACGTTAAAATAAGAAACGTAGTCCTGATAGTTCTACTAAGGATCCGTTCGTTTGACGGAAAATATTTTCTCGATTTTCCGGTGTTCGGAGGGCGGAAAACGTTTTCCGTGGGAAAATATTTTTCTTCCCCTTTCACAAAATAGCCTAAGTCATGGAAAATGACTTCCGCTTCTTCAAAAGCGAAAATCATTTTCCGAGCTTCTTCTTCTTCTTCTTTACTAAGGTCGCCGCCGCGCCGTCTTGCCGGCCCGCCGCGCGCTCGCGCCGCCGCGCCGGCGCCGCCGCCACCGCCGCCGCCGGAGCCGCCGCGCCGCGCCGCCGCCGCGCCGGAGCCGCCGGCGCCCCCGGCCCGCCTTGCCGCTGCCGCCGGCTGCGTGCTGCCGCCGGACGCGGGACGTTGCTCCGCCTGCTGCGGCCTGCTGCAGCTGCCGTGCCGCGCGCGCCGCCGTGCCGGTCGCCATGCGCCCGGACGCGCCTGCGATCGCCGCGCGCGCCGCCCGGCGGCCAGTGCGCCGGTGAAAAATATTTTCGAAACTTTTTCATATTGGTGGCCGAACATCGGAAAATTATGTTCGGAAAACATTTTCCAGGAAAATGACTTGGAAAATATTTTCCAAAAGGAGAATATTTTCCGCCAAACGAACGGAGCAGTTAGGCTATTTTGCGGTCGCCCGCCACCGGACGCCGCCGCCGCCGCCCGCGCGCCGCCCGCCGTTGGCGCTCGCCGCCGCTCGGTGCGCCGCCGCCGCGCGCCGCCGGATCGCTCAGCGCTGAGCCGGCTGCCGGCCGCCGCCGCCGGGCCGCCGCTGCGCGCCGCCGCCGGCCGCGCCGCCGACGCTGCCGGCGGCTGCGCCGGACGCGCGCTGCCGGACGCCGCTGCCGGACGCCGCCGCCGGACGCGCCGCCGACGCCGCTGCCGGCGCCGCCCGGCGCCGCGCCGACCGGCGCCGCAGGCCGCCGCCGCTTATCGCCGCCGGTGCGTCGCGCGCTGAGCTCGCTGCCGCGCCACCGGTCGCCGCCGCCGGCGAAAAATATTTTCCGAAACTTTTTCATATTGATTGCCAAACACCGGAAAATTATGTTTCGAAAAAACATTTTTCAGGAAAATGACTTCCGGGAAAATATTTTTCAAAAGGAGAATATTTTCTGTCAAACGAACGGAGCCTAAGTGTATATATCTAGATAGGTGGGGGTAGTCTCAATCGGAGATTTCGGCTTCTCCTGCTTTGATGAGGTATCCTCGATAACCTCACCAAAGATCCAAGCCATACAAATCCCTTTAAATCCCTCCGGAGATTAACAACGCCCGTAAAAATGACTTTACCAATCCATCGCCTCCTTCTCTTTCCTTCCCATTCGAACAAGTCTATACTTTTTTAAAATTCCTTTTTTCCCTTTCCTCCTAATCCCTCCAATAAAATCAAGCGCCAGAGATTGCGAACTAGTATAGGATAATGAA